ACCACATGTTGTTTGGGAGGGTTTCAAGAAAAAAAATCAAGAAAAGAAAATGCTCTCATCCAAAAACAATCCCCAGCATATTCAGTTATCAGACACGACTGGAACTTCAAATGGGACTGGCTTCTATGGTCAGATTTAACTAAAAAAATTTGCTTTTTAGCAACAAACACTCAAGATGGCTTTGGTGCACACAGGGATAAAAAGTACCCCATGTGTACAATGTACAATGAAATATACTGCTGTATTTTTAATGTTGTGGGCCTATATTTCTGCTGGAGGTCCTGGACATCTTGTTTAGATACATGGCATCTTAATTAACTTTAAAGATAAAAAAAATAAATTCAGAAAGTAATAAAAATTAAGAATTTTAAAAACAAAATAATAAAACATACACAAGTTAAAAAAATACTAAAATAAAATAAAAATGAAAAGAATATTGTCTTTTGTCTTTAAATATAAAAAATAAGTGAGTACATCCAGTACACCTTGACTCAGAAAAATAGCAAACAATTGTAAATAAATACATTCAAAATTATAAATAAATTCTGATTTTAAATATTAAAAAAATGAGTCAATACATTCTGTATGCCTGAACTGTACTGAACCTGAGCCAAGTCAAACATATCTAGCATTTTCTGAATGTGCAAGACATCTACTGTTGAAGGAGATATTAAAAGGCTGCAACATCTGAATCTAAACTACCACAACAAACAAAATATATGCAGATCTGAGGTTCACAGCTTGTGCAAATGAACAACTAAAAGAGCCATTGTCAGCAACACCCGCTCCTGGTAAGACGTGTCCCTATACACACACACACGCATTATCACTTTACTGAAATAATGAGCCCTTAAAACAACACCCACCTCCATGCTGTTACATGAAACTATGTGTATTTAGATACTTGTGGGAAATGTAGAAAAACTCTAAATGAAGCCAGCGTGATAGGATACAGTGAAATTATTTGATGCCAGGCACAGACAGAAGGAAACAACAAGAACGTAAACACAACAAACAAACAAAACTGAAATGAAGTGCAGCACAAGTGTCAAATCATGAAAAACAACTCCATCTTCACTGATTATAATGAATCATTCCACTTCATAACTGACATTAGAGGTAAAGTCTTTGTAACCACAGAAACACATTTACTTTAAGGTCAACATCTTATAGGTATTAGCGGGTATGTTGGTATTTCATGCCACAAAACTTCCATCACGTTACCAGCAGGTATTTCCTGGTTCATAGCAGACAACTTCCTATATGTCCTTAAATGAAACTGAAACATTCAACCCTTGATGGATGCCAGAAAATAGCCAAATTCTTAGACAAACTGCTGTCTTATGTCACTGCAGGACATTTTTTTAATAAAGAGTGGCTTGAAAAATTAGATACAGAAGCTATAGAAGCTGCAGCATCAGCAAAACCTTTAACCAACACTTACTTGAATGTACGCTCAAGCTTTGGCCTATGTGAAATCCATGGCCACCTGCAAACCAAACAAAACAGAGAAACAAACAGTGATTACAGCGTTCTGTACGACTTCTTTCACAATCTAAACATGCTTCTGATGTTCTCGGCTGGCGCATGGGGCTTCACGGTTTGGTTATGGCACTAAACTGTACAGCCCAATGGACCATAATGAACGTATCTTCTTTTTTGTGGAAAATCCATGCCCTCCTCTTACTGAAATTGGTGGAATTCCCCTAATGGTGGCCAGTTTCAGAGGAGAGAAACCCCACACTTTCAGACAGAACTGGTTCTGTTACTCTTAAGACTCTGGAAAGTGGAAAAACTGAAAAAAAAAAAAAAAAAGTTTCAGCAGAGTTGAGAAATGAATTCAACACTTCTGTATGAATTCAACACTGTGAATAAATAATAGATATGGAAAAAGTATAGGTTGTTAAGAGTACAAGAAGAGTGACTCAAAACAACAACCATCAAACCATCTCCAAAAGATTTAGACTTTATGCCGCCACATTTTACTTGAGAGATGCACATTTTTGCTTTTTCTTCTTCTTCTTTTTGTTTTCAAAAAAACAAAATGCATTTGAACCCTAATCTGAAAATCCCTGAAAGCATAATCTGTTTTATCATTGAATACATGGAAGTAGCCACACAATAAAGACAAAGCGCAAATTCACCAAAAATTCACCACTTTAGCACAAAAACTTGCATTATAGACCCTGTTTACACAGATATTCAACTCAATCTCCAATTATACAATTACAAGTTGACAGCTGAAATAAATAGCTATTTTTAACCGCTACCATTATCTATACTGCTAACTGGTATTTTCTTTTAAAATTGTATGTAAGCAGTAGGCCTGGGTGTTGACACAAAATTCACAGTTAGATTTAAGTTCTATTCAAAAGCTTGCGATTACATTAGATTAGATTCAATTTTTCGATTTGACTCGATTCAATATTGATTATTTTGGATATATTTCAAGTACATGGCAAATTTTCTCAAGGAAAAAAATCTCAAATAATGCTGTAAAATATACATGAGAGTCAGCTATACATTACAATATTGGGATTTAAAATTAACTGATTTGTATACAAACACTTAAATTACACTCAATGAAGTTACAATAGCCAGCTAACTTTACAATTAAATATTCCTACTCCAATTCGTTTTTTTTTAAATATAAACATTTAAACGGTGGCTGTCATAAAAACTTGACATACTTATTCAAACATAAATTAAATACCGAAGAACAGTAAAATATTATAATGAATATATCGAAATGCTCCTCTCTAGTTCATTTTTCTAGCTGACTAACGAGTTTATAGTCACAGAATATATTTTTTTCTGAGGTAAATATGACATTATGTGACATGTGACAGGATACGGATTTCATTCAGTTGTACTCTTTCTTTTAACATACCTTCGGATGTTCATTCATGTTTATTTCATGCTGAAAAAGCTGAGGAGATGATCAGCTCACGCGCACTTAGTGCTGCCGCATCTCTTGATCTGAGGCGCTACAACAATCTGTCACTCCACATCAAACAATGCCAAAACGGTATTGTTTGTTTGAATATTATGATAAACTGAACAGAATTTGAAACCTGAGACTTTTTGTTTAATTCAGAAGTAACAAATTACAAAGCTTATTGCGATTTATTGGACGGGAGGCGCACTACATTATTCCGTTCATTAAATGAAAACAGGCTAGACTAATCGATTCTTGGGATTTAAGAATCAATATCGATTCGTAAAAATGAGACTTGAATAAAATTGAGAAATCGATATGTAGCCCTAGTAAGCAGTAAAGTTTAAAATCTCTTTCCAGCTAACAGAGAAGCTAATGTTTTCTCAAACTGAATAAACTTTGAGAGACTGTTAAAAGAATCTCCATTTAAAGTTATCTGGTCTTTAAAAAAATTCTCAAAATGCTAACACCAAAACGTTGTTTATATATCTGTCAGAGAACATTCAAAAGTAATGTTCCCATAATGATTGCTAAAATATACGGTTCCCTTAACAGTTTCTCTAACATTTGCATAACCAAGAAAAAATGTTTAGAGAACATTCAGAAATAATTAGCGACATATTTTTAAAACATATTTTTGTTAGCTGGGTTCAACGCTTTGGTTGATTGACAGGTGAGTAGACAGTTCTTCAGTGCTGTGTGGGACCCATCAAGACTGATTAGTCTAGCCCACCTGGGAGGAATAGAAAGAAAGTAGGCAAGAAAGAGCAAATGTGAGAGTCCCAGCACACGAGGAGGAAATAAGGGGCGAGGGGGAAACAGTTGCATCCCTATAGCTACTGAGATGTGAAGTTGTCAAAACACATATTTCAATGTGAACAAAGTGAGCAAGGAGTACGCATACAAAAGTGTGTGAATGGGCAGATATCTGGAGCAGATCCCAGGCTTCAGACTCTCAGGAAACTCAGGAGATAAATGATGTGAGACTAAAGTTCTTCCATTGTTCCTTTTGCATTTAGAAGCAGCGCTATTATCACCCCAAAAATGTCTTTGAAACTTGAGTACTTAGTGTGTATGTGCCAATGAATCATGCTTCTAGGGGGCTTTCAATGAAACCACCTGATTTGATAGTGAAAAGACAGATGAAGACAATTTCCTTTTTCATTTACTGTATACATAACACAGGTGGTCAATTGTGAAAAGAGAATTGTTATTGATTCAATACTGAATAAAGTTCAGGTGCTAATGTGGTTGGAAAAAAAACTTTTAAGTTGTGTTTTGGATGTTACCAGTTGACAGCATTTTGTGGCATAATAGTTTGGACTTTTCCATAGTTTTCTTTAATAGTAATAATAAAAAAATATTACATATACTGTATTAAATAAAAAAAGCTGTAAATAAAGCAGAGATTATTGGAGTATGTTTTTACAAAAACAGTCTTTTCTACTTCAAATACTTCAAACTATGCTATATAAAAAATTTTATAATTTGAGCTGTAAAGCTCTTTAACAATTTTTATTCATTTTTGGTGGTAATGGTGTTATCATTGCAGAGAGTGTAATACTGGAAATATTTTAGAAAAGGTTAGTAAGCAATTTTATTACACTAAAATTGTGCTAACACACAACGGTGAGTATTTTAACATTAACATATTGGCCACATTCACTTGCATTGTCAGTGCTTCACTGCAACCCATACTGTTGCTTTTTTTAAAGTGGG